AATATACAAAAAATATACTGCATATTAAAGCAAACGATTGTAAACGTAAAAGTATGAGCATAACAAATAAAGAAGTGTAATGTAAACATTTACATTATTATTATGATGATTTAATATATGAAGACTATATATTATTGAATTACAAGATTAGATATACTTTATTTGATCTAAAATATTGATGTGTTCAAATGTTCTTCAAAACACAACTGAAAGTCCATGAAACTTGTCTTTCTGTATTTGTGAATGAAGTGCCATCTCCTGGTTAAAACCTGAAATTGACAATCTGGAAACGCCCTCTTGGAAAATAGTGGGAGGGCTTAACATTCCTCGATACTGGTCTTAGGCAGGTCGTAGGCAGGAAGCTGTAAGCTGGAGTCTGAAATTAGGTGCTACATCTGTAGTGTAATATTATAACTTAGGTTTCCGGGAGCTGTTGATAACACTATACTGGTCAAAGGCAAGAGGTCATTAATTTTGTTTCTAAGAGTAACAATTTTATCGTTAAAAAAGCACATAAAATCATTACTACTGAGTGCTATGGGAATAGAAGGCTCAATCGAGCTGTGGCTCTCTGTTAGCCTGGCTACAGTGCTGAAAAGAAATATTGCATTATTCTTATTCTCATCTATTAATGAAGAGTAGTAGGCTGCTCTCGCTTTACGCAGTGCTTTCTTATATTCATTGAGAGTAATATGCCAAATTAAACGAGATTCTTCAAGTTCAGTGGAACGCCATATCCTTTCAAGTTGTCTCGACTTTTGCGGGTATGTGCAGTACCACGATTAAGGATCTAACCCTCATCCTGAATTTCATTTCCCCCAGCTCCATGTATGACATGAGGAGAGTCAATGTACAGTTTTTGCAAATCCGGCAAAATAACAGTCCAATGCTACCGTTTCTGTATGTTTCCGAGTTTTCCGATTCTCTCTGAGCTATCTGCAACGCATCTCCGACTTCAATTCCTTCTTCCGGTCTGCAATCCACGTCACGCCAGCGCGACTCGCTCAATCCAGCCCGGACGTTGCATTACCGCCTACTAGCCTACTGGATACATAATAAAACCGCCCTTTCTTCGTTACTGTACTGTACTTATACATCTTTCTGGTATCAATACTTCACTTCGTACTCCACTACTTATTGTTCTGAGGACTTTTTACTTTTACTTCTTACATTTGTAACACAAATACCTGTAATTTATACTTCTTACATTATTAAAACAGGTTTGTTACTTTAGTTTTAAACTGTATTTGGTGGCATGATCATTATTATTTAGAGTCTTCAGCGTTGCTGACATCAACAGTTTCTAACAATAGGAAAAACAATAATATGCAACCAACCTTGATGAGAGGGGTGCGCCCGAAGAAGAAACCAAACATGTAGGCCATAATGTTGTTACAGATCACACAGGAAATCGGCACAAGGAACCTGTGAGAAGAGAAGAGTTAACATGAGACTCATAAATAGGAGACTTAGAGAAAGCAAGTTTTCCTCTCACACATCCCTGAAACTGGCCCTCCCGCTGTACTTCTCGGAGACTTCAACCTCCAGACAGGGAAGATAGACGAACTGACATCTCTGTTAACCGCCTTTGCTTTCTCACTGTCTCCTTCCCCACCAACTCATAAAGCTGGCAATGTTTGATCTCATATTCTCAAGGAACTGCACTACTTCTAACCTCTCTGTAAACCCGCTCCACACATCCGATCACTTCTTCATTTAATTCTCTCTACCCCTTTCCAAACATAACAAACTAATCTCTTCTCATCCTGCACCTGTCCGCCGTAACCTTCGTTCCCTCTCTCCCTCTACCTTTGCCTCATCGGTGCTCTCAGCCCTCCCTTCCTCGGACTCGTTCCAACTACTACCTCCAAACTCTGCTGCAGAAACTCTCCTCTCTACTCTCTCATCCACTCTGGACTCTCTCTGTCCTCTCACATCTCGGCAGGCTCGTCAGTCCCCTCCTGCTCCCTGGCTAAATGATGCACTGCGTGCTAATAGAACCGTCCTTAGGGCAGCAGAGCGGAAACGGTGGAAATCCAAACACTGTGACGACCTCCTAACCTATCAAGCTCTCCTCTCCTCTTTCTCTGCTTCGATCTCTCAGGCAAAAAGCACTTTCTTTCAAGATAAGATCCAATCTTCCTATTCCAATCCCAAAAAACTATTTTCCATCTTCTCCACCCTCTTGGACCCCCCAAAAGCCCCTCCCCCCTCCTCACTTCTGCCAAGCGACTTTGTTACCCACTTTGAAAAAAAGGTTGATGATATTCGCTCTTCTTTTTCTGACTCACCTTTACTCACCGCTGGGTCACCAGACCCTCCTTCCACCCACACACTAACCTCCTTTTCCCCTCTCTCTCCAAGTGAGGTTCTCACCCTCATTACCTCTGCCCGCCCTACCACCTGTCCTCTGGACCCTATCCCTTCAAACCTCCTTCAGACTATCGCTCCTGATATTCTACCGTTTCTCACCCATTTCATCAACACTTCTCTAACTTCTGGTCACTTTCCAAACAGTCTCAAGGAGGCAAGAGTAAACCCTCTCCTAAAGAAACCCACTCTCAACCCGTCAGATGTTATAAACTACAGGCCTGTCTCTCTCTCTCCTCCCATTCCTGTCTAAAACACTTGAACGCGCTGTCTTTAAACAACTCTCCTGCTATCTCCATCAGAACAACCTTCTGGATCCGCACCAGTCTGGTTTCAAGGCAGGTCACTCCACAGAAACTGCCCTCCTTGCTGTCACTGAGGAACTGCACACTGCTAAAGCAGCCTCCCTCTTCTTTGTCATCATCCTTTTGGAACCTAACCATATTGTAATATCTAAGTAATCATCTTGAAATATGACATTAATAATTGTAATATACACATCTTATGGTGAGGTTGATTTCACATACACTACTTCAACGTTAACTTGTCTACATACTTGAGCATAGCCAATTTAAATTAACCTTAGCGATGCATACAGTTCCTACCTACATAATAAAATATCTCTCTAAGTTACAAGGCTGACCTTATTTTATCAACCTCAAACAGAAGCCGTTTGTTCAACAGTATTATCCCACTTAACGTCTATTTTGTTTTAACCTTTATATATACAGTCTATTATTTTAACTTGGAGGCTACGATTAGCATCGTTAGCACCGATGTAGGTACCACTCGCTACACGCTAACCCATGCCTTAACATTCATTACGTAGCTGATTAAAATCATTAACACATAAATAAAGCACTAGAATTTCACTTACCGCAATCCCGCATTCATGCACCGTCTGTTTTAACCGCAGAGCGAGTCACAATAGTCCGATATATAAGCATGAAGAACAAACAACCACGGCCGGCTACAAGTTGTGTTTGCTGGATGAGCTGAGCAGGCAGAGTCCCTGTAGCTAGCTTCACAGAGCAGCTAGCAGAGAGACAAGAAGCTAGCCGCAGCAGGCACTTGACAGAGCCGTCACTCAATGTGACCACGCCCTAATTTATGCAAAAACGTTAAGACCTAATATAAATAAAAGGGTCGTGTTAGAAAACAATTCACTCACAGATCCATAGTCATGAAGGTGGAATCTAACTATATCGATAATAAAATGTATGGAGCCAGGGGTAGAAACATGTTTTTTTCTGCTGTAAAATTGGGCATTTTAACATGGGGGTCTATGGAAATTGCTCCTTTCTGCAGCCATCGCCTATCGGCCAATATATGAACTGCAGTGTGTGGCACTTACGTATTCGCGTCCTGGCTATTCCCCAGAGTTTGCCCCTTGCAATCAACCCAATTATATTCATGAGGGTCCTTGTTCCAAAATATGTATTGATAGATTTGATGATGGTACAAAACAATTATGATGTAAATATGTTTTGTTTGTATTACTGCACTTGCAAGGTTGGATGAACCTTTATCAAACACTTCTTTTTTTGAAGGTATCAGTTTCTTTCTTGTTAATTTACAACTTTGAGTTATCTCCCAGACTAATACGCCCTTCCGCTGGCTTTTAACCAACATAGGCCCTCAAACACTGTGATATCCTTCTCTATGTGAACATAGAACCTGGATTATGACCAAAAATCACAGGAGTGATGTGTCGTGTACGCTGAGTTGATCTCATCCGCTTCACAAATGTTGTCTTAGATGATTGCTTTCCCTTTGATTTAACAGGCACTGATTTTTCTGCTTGAATATTTCTGTCTGTGAAAGACTTGAGCTAAGTTTATAAGTGTTTAAATCTGCAGGGTATCTTCCAGTCGTCTCATTAATAAATGTCAGACTTGCAGTGTGGTATAAAAGGCAAAATAACAAAAGTGAGTCTCTTTCTCTTTTCTGACTTTTTTTTATGGGTATTTCACTTTATATTAAATACATAACAATAACAGTGCAGAACATCTAACCTCACTATGAATCCAGAACAATACACCTGCAGGAGCATGGATAAAGTGAGAGGTTTGCATGCATTTTGAGCCGATTTGGGCAGAATCCAGCAGAGTGGATCGTGATGTTCATCCTAATGTCTATGTAAAGAAAAAAAGTCTAAATATTTAAAGATAAAGCTGTGAAACAATCTCAATAATTGGCAGCATGCTGAGATAGGAAGTTTTAATATCTTAAGAGAAGAGCTCTTTTGGCTCCTTCCTGTCTTTCTACTGGGTCTTTCTTGGCTTTGTACTGGCTATCTTCTAGCTCTATTCAGGTTTTAGGAGTTCCTTTCTAGCTCTGTGCCCAATCATTTTCAGAACCTGAAGGCTCTATACGGACTATCCTCTGGTTCTTTTCTGGATCCATCCACTATCTCGTCTCTGTCCAGTGAATTACACTTGTGTTACTGGAGCAGGTAAAGCATACAACAGATTCTTTCAGCATTATCGGAGCACGAAATAGAAGCTTGGATGAAACACAGCGGACTTCTAAACAATGAACACCCGCAACTTAGAAGAAATAAAGTTGGGTTTTATGTGTTCTAATATTGCAATGCAAACCCATGATGTAATGACAGTAATTAAGAATAGTTTAGTCATTGAATGCTCATTTCAGTAGATTTAATCAAACAAAACATGAACATATTGGACATGGCATCAAGACTGTAACCTCTTCACATTCTGTTGAATAGTAAATTACTAGCCATATCTTACACATTGCTGTTTTGAATCATTAATATGTGGATGACAGTTGAACTGGAAAATGTAACATGTATGCCACCTGCTGGAAAGAAGACGTATCGCTCTTTTGGCGTCGTTTGGTCAACAAAAACAGAGTTAAACTCTCATTTCATGAACAATCTTTGAGTACAGACACCGTCCTGCAGAGAGCACACAATCCAACAGCACGTTTTTGGTCTAGCATCACTTTACAGCACGTTTGCATTAAGACACTAAGACTAGCTGGTCCATTGTAAAGGTCAGTCCACCTTAAATGAGCAGTGGGTGATCAGCAGGTGAAAGGCAGGACACGGGAACTTGGTCCTGAGGAGATGTAACAATTATTAAACAAGAAAGTTGTAGAGTCAAGGGGTCAAAGAAATGAACATTTGTGATTATTAACGAATCGGTTGCAGGCTGGTGAAATCAGGCTTAGGGAGTAACTAAAACCAAAACTAAGGAGCTCACTGTTAATTTCAGGAGGTCAAAAAAAGGAAGTCCCCCTCCACAGAGAAGCAGTGGAGAGCGTGGAGGACCTATGGCTCCTTGGAGTCAACATCTCCAATCATTTAACTTGGACCTCAAACCTGGTGAAAAAGGCACAGCAGAGACTGTTTTTCCTGAGGAAACTGAGACAGGCCAGGCTTCCACAAAAACTGCTGGTAAACTTATATCGGTCGACTATTGAAAGCACCCTGACCAGCTGCATAACTGTGTGGTACACCAGCTGCGCAGCCGCAGAGTGGAAGGACCTGCAACGGGTGGTGAAGGCTGCTCAGCGCATCGTTGGGACTGAGCTGCCCAACCTTGACAACATCTACAAAGGTCGACTGCAGAAGAAAGCCAGCAGTATCATCAGAGACATCAAACACCCCGGCCGCTCACTGTTCGAACTGCTGCCGTCCGGCAGACGGTTCAGGTCAATAACATCCCGCACCAACAGACTGAAGAACGGCTTCTTCCCCAGAGCTGTGGCCTCCATCACTCCCATCCCTGTCCAGCCACAAAACTCACTATAACTTTGAACATGCACACATACAAACACACTACCTACCATCAAAGACTGCAACCAAAAATATATGAATACTTATAATACTTATATGAATACTGTGCAACAATGTTGATCCAGTCAGGCAGATTTGTTATCCTCAGTTTGAATTTCATTAAGCTTTGAGGACTGACAACCAACACATTTGTGTCTATTGAAACACATACGCCATTTAAATCTTTTGTCACAAACATTGCAGCTGTATATTTCCTCTCCTGTGTGGATTCTCATGTGTTCCTTTAAACTTCCACTCCGTGAAAAAACTTTCTTACAGACTGAGCAGCTGTATGGTTTCTCTCCTGTGTGGACTCTCATGTGTTTTCTTAAAGTTCCACTCAATGCAAAATATTTGGTACAAACTGAGCAGCTAAAAGGTTTCTCTCCTGTGTGGATTCTCATGTGTCCCTTTAAACTTCCACTCTGTGAAAAAGCTTTCTTACAGATTGAGCAGCTGTGTGGTTTCACTCCTGTGTGGATTCTCATGTGTCTATCTAAAGTTCCACTCAATGTAAAATATTTGGTACAAACTGAGCAGCTAAAGGGTTTCTCTCCTGTGTGGACTCTCATGTGTCTCTTTAAATGTCCACTCTGTGAAAAAGCTTTCTTACAGACTGAGCAGCTGAATGGTTTGTTTTGTCTTGGATCACTGACGGATTCATGTCTATTTTTCAGTGAGTTTGAGCCTGATGCAGGTTTTCTGGTCTCCTTCCAATCAGCACTGTCTTCAGTGTCAGGTTCAGAAGAGTCTCCAGTGTCAGGTTCAGAAGAGTCTCCAGTGTCAGGTTCAGAAGAGTCTCCAGTGTCGTCCTCAGTCTTTGGTTGTAAACTGCTCTCTGGATCTGAGTTCCTGGCTGGTTCTGGTCCTCGACAGTCATCTCCATCAGCTTCTGTTTCAATGTGTTCAGTTTGTCTTTGATGAGGCTGTGAGGACAGAGGTTTCTCTTCATCATCTTCACTCTTCACAGGGTCAGGAGTGAAAGTGGACTTGGTGATATCAGCCTCCTCCAGCTCCTGAAGCTGCTCTCCCTCCTGACTGATCCTGAGTTCCTCCTGTTCCTGCTTAATGTGTGGGGGGGGCTCTGCGTCCTCCTGGTCCAGACTGGTGCTCCACTCCTGCTGGTCAGGGGGAACCTCTTCTTTAACCGCCACCAGCTGCTGGACGTCTGCAGGAAACAGGAAACACACAGTCAGAAAAAACTGTAAGTGTTAACATTTAAAAATCTAATCACCATTCAAACGGGAGACATTTTTCAGCCCTAATAATGCCTTTGTTTTTATACTTTAACAATATATTTCTTAGTCCCACCTATTGTGTATTTTTGTTGACTCAATTCACCTCACGTAGCACAGCCCCATTCCACTTCCAGTTAAAAATGAAAAGGGGTTATTTATTCTGGTTTAGCACTAGCTGCAATGTAAACAATGAATTGTATTTGGGATTGTTCACAGCTACACTACGCCTATAGAATGGTAATACTAAAAATATATTGTCCTGTTCCAAAAAGGCTGATTCTGTGACCGTAGCTTTAAATGGAACAGCTGCTGCTAGCCACGCCCCTTTGTAGTGTCACGCAGCTTTCCTCTGCTAAGAGTTTTCTACCGGGAGAAACTCAGCTAAACGCTGCCGTGATTAAATGCCATATTATGTTCCAAACCACTTCAAGCATTATTTCTGAAACAGTAGGAGCTCAAACCTTTCTCTCTCGCAGGGTTTACCGCAAGGACATTACGTTACACATATTCTCTCAAGTAGCCTACAGCGCTAGCTCTGAGTGTTAGCATGCTTGCTAATGTAAACACAGACCATATTACTCCCAAAACACGCAGCACATGGTTTCTGATACAGCACATAGCTTGACAAGTGTTAACTGCTATAACAGTGCCATTATATGTATTATATATATATATAATAACTTTAGTCTAAGTGCCTCCTGCAGACATCATGCTGAATACACAGACACACAGCTGGGAGAGGGGATTCAGCTAGAGCTAGGGGGGGGGGGCGCGCTTGAAGCTTGGGAAGAAGTTGTAAATAAACATTGTTTGCTCGTAAAATCAATACAATTGACACAGTTTTAACCTCTTAAGCCCGAGGGTCCCCCCAGTGGACCCCTCCCACCGTTTTTTTACGAGACTATGTCTCAGGGCTTCTTAACATTTATGAAACTATTAATGTTCCTTACCCTTTTAACGGTAAGAAACTCAGCTAACTGACAATATGAACCATTTTTAGCTAAAAGAAACACAAGAGTAATACCAAGCCTTTGAATTAGCATGGAGCGAAAAAATGCTAACTAATGCTAACGGACTTTTGCACAGCACTCACGGTAGAAATGCCCTTATTACTTATCGTAACTGCACAAACAAGATATCCGATTAAAGCTGAGACTCCACAGATTCCACACATGTAATGTCATCACTGTACGACCCCGAATTCCTGGAGATATCATCCAGAAAAGAGAAAGTAAACAACATCCGGTTTCAAAAATATTACAATAATTACGTCTTAACTTTTTTGATTTGAGATCAAAAGTTCTGTTCAACGGAATAAAAACGACGCTCAAGGTTAATCCAATGTCTTTGTGTCACGTAGACATTTTTACTGATAATCCATCATCATATTTATGGCAATATACTGGGTATAAAGTTTTGCCGTCCAGGCTTGTACTTTCAGATATGCTTCGTTTGCTTCTCTATTACGTCCGCAATGGTAATGTTTACGTGGATTTGGGAACTGCCCATTGATTCTATTGGATGTAATGGTTAAGAAAAAAGTGTAAATCACCCAAATTGACCAATAGGTTACAGAGATATGGTCCTGCGTAAAGTATAAAGAATGCCAGCCAGCGTAAGCACATTACGCAGCAGACTTTACTTATTGTTTACTACGTAAGGAAGCAGGAATTGCAGGACCCAGAGCGCACGGAGCACAGAGTGGACAGCAGATAACGGAATTGCAGTTTTATTGCTTATAGATTATCAGAACATTTCAAAGGGGACACAGCCACATTAGATATTAACCTATGGATTAACTACATCATCGTTTTAATGCCATTGAAGACCAGTTTAGACCAGACAAAGACCAAGGTAAGCCATGTTAGCCTAGCGCATGTTAGTACCTAGCGCCACTTGTTTTGATGTACGTTTTTGTTGATAACGTCGCAAGTTTGTATCTTTCAGTGTTGAGGTGGGCACCGTTAGATTCTGTGTCTTTACGATCATAAACGATGTGTTGGATGTGCAGCTAGGATAAGTAATAAGGGAGCTAGGAGTGATTTTCGGTGCAGTAATAGGTTAGCATTTTTCGCTCGGTGCTAATTCAGAGGCTCACTGTTAGCATTATGTGTTTTTTTTGAAAAAAAAAATGAAAAAGATCAGTTAAATGAGTTTTTTCCCCGTTATATGGATATAAAATATTCATAGTTAATCAAATATTAAAGTTCCTTAGACGTTGTTTCCTGCAAATGACGCGATTTCGGCCCCGGAACCGGGTCCGTGGGGCCTAAGAGGATAACAGAGTATGTTTTTTATTTTTTCACAACAGTTTTATTTGGATGGAATGAATACCTATAGTGATAATTCTAAGTAATAAAATGATTTTTACAGTGAAAAAGTTCAAATGGAACTGATGGTTCCCAAATTACCCAGAGGTGAGTCCGCCTGGACTTTATTTTTCTAAACCTCTCTAAAAAAGGTCAAATTTCACTTGTTTTGCATCAATCTTGATACAGGGTACTTATTATATGTTATAGTTTGGATTCCTAAAGCTTTTAGTCTACTATCCCATCATCCAAGGGTGGTTTTCACTATAAGTAATGGTTTTTTTTTAGGCGGACATTAGAATTTACATGTTTTTACTATATTCCATCTGAATTTACTTTAAAATAAAAACATCTATATTGATTCTGACACTTCTACATCCAACTCACAGATGTAACCTTGCTTTGAGAGAAAATATTATTAATTTACCCCTTTTAGAAGTGAAGATATAGTCTTTGTTGTGTTAGTTGCATTTTCGAGCCTGAAACCTGAAAAACAGGCTCAGGGCTTAAGAGGTTAACACAACCGGCAGTTAAAAGAAAAGTGGACGAGCCCACGACAAGTCTTTCAGCTTTAATGCCAAAATCAACAAAGTGTGATGAGGCATATATCTCCCTTAACATCTAATGTGTTCGTGCAGAGATCTATTTTTCTCTCTCTCTCTCGTCTGTGTGGGGGGCGGGGCATCTCGCTCACAGCACCGTGCACACAAATATCCGCCGGTGGAGAACATAGCGTTCAAAAGTGACAATGTAATCTACAGAGCTCGATGTGGTCAATGCTCGTTTGCCATAAGTATTTTCGCGGAAACATGAGCAATCTCTCCGTCAGCTGGCCAAAAGGCATCATATTCATACGGAGAAATGCACCGTTTTCAACTTCCTTAACTCGGAGTTCTGTTTTTCCAACCCAGTTTAGATTTAACCACGCCCACTTCCGCATTACGCAAGGATCAACATAGCTCTACGCGATAGCGTCATAGACGCGGCACACCCGCGAAATCTGAATCTGACAAGCGAAATACCGTCCTTTTAAACGCCGCATAATATACAATATAATCGTGCTTCTTTGTCAATATGACTGACGACCACATTTATGCAGTGCTGAGGTAATGTTAATTCATCATTTAATATTAATTCCTGATGGATATAAGAGGGATACATTAGCAAACATCTGTATATATAGCCTATATATAATGTTTCGTTTTTTTGTTTGTCATGTTACAGTCAACCCTTATTCAAGTGCCCAATAAATGTATATATTTTTTTACAGTGCAGATTTTGGCTTTTTTGGGACCATCGCACATGTGTGTAAGTAACAAGTATGCTGTATAATCTGCAACAACTGTCAGGTGGTGTTATTGATTATCTTTGCAAAAGAGCCCCCACCAATATTGATTTTGAAAAATATATTTTAATTTAAATGGAGCAAAAACAAAAGGGTAGAATTGATCATACCATAATATGTTATTATTGCAACTGTTTTTATTATATTGTGTTGTTTTGTTTATATATATATATATTACAGTTTAGTAGCTGGGGCAGTAACTATAGTACGCAGTGTAGGCGGAGCCGTGACGTCATCTTCAATGCGAACTACAGAAAAACAACATCAGCCGTTAGCTGTTAGCACTCAAGCTCACAGCTCCTCATATCTGTTCAGAAACTAGACAAAAGATGAACAAGTACAAACCACAGACTGTCTGTGTCATGGCGAGTACAGTTTATTTATGTCTGTATATGCCGTTGTTGTGAGTGTGGACGGTCGGAGCATATACTAGGTTAGCTTAGCCGATCTCCATTCAGAAAACACGCATTTTAAAAAGGTTTTTCACCTGCCGTCTTTTCTGCAGACTTGTCAAAGCATTAATTCATGGTTTTTATTAACCGGTATCAGTATGTTGTTACTTCGGCATCATTTTTGAAACGTGTATTACAATTAAATCACAGTAAAATATGTTCATGTTGTTGTAGTTGTAGCCCCCTTGCCAGCGATTCTCTCCCTCTCTAGTTTAGCATACTCAGCCCGACTCAGCCTGGTTGTTGGCCCTCTAATGGCGCATTTCCACTACACGGCCTCGCTCGGTATGGTTAGGCCTCGTTAGGACTGGCTCACTTTATGGCTAATTTACATTACAATTTAGGAACTGGGGTAGTATCTATAGCAGGGGTACTCAAATACAAATCTTAAAGGTCCAAAATAAATGTTTCAATAAGACAAAGGTCCGTTTATTACGGTCATTCAAACTTTTAAACAATTGCAACAAGATTCTTAACACGAGGTTGCAAAAACAAAAATAATCTGTATGCAGCAGTTTTCATTGTTATTGTTTCTGTGCTTGACCCCTCAGAGTCGCAGTGTAAGAGCTGCACAGTTAGGAATAAAGGCAGCTGCACCCTCTTTCATTCAGCATTCCCATTATTGCTTTATAAATGTCTTGCCCCCTTGTGTGTCCACTGAGGTTCGTCAGGCCCAACACATCTTCAACAAACTCCCCCTTTGCCTCATCATAAAAACTCACAAACACCAGCAACTGAGCATTGTCAGTGGTGTCAGTGGACTCACCCACAGCT